ACCGATGGGAGATATCAGGGGGGAATTAATGTGTTGGATTTTCCCCCGTGGATTCCAACCGATGGGAGATCTCGGAGGGTGGAATTAATGTGTGGGATTTTCCCATGGATTCCAACCGATGGGAGATCTCAGGGAAGGAAGTCCGATCGGGACATGGAGAAAGTGCGCGATGGACGTTGTTATTGGGTTTGCCTGGGGTGAACTAAAGGCGTTGTCCCTAATGGGTATATATATCACATATATATATATAGATATATTGATCTGCTTGTTTATGGATGGATGGGTGGGCCTATTACTGTTAAACGGTGGTGATACCTTGGGCGATGAGTCTTTCTTACTGCTATTCCATTCTCTTTTGATCCCACGATTCTGTTCTTCTTGTATTCCGAGCGCCGTGTGATATTGTGCCTTGGATGATTAGCATCCCCTATATTGAATACTTCTAAAGACCATCCTGAACTATTTGGAAAGTAGTCGCGTTAACGTATTATGCAAAAAAAGCGACCCCGGGCTCACGTTTTGGACGGTTCGCGCGTACGATAGAGAGAACGATAGTTCGTCATTTGAGTGTGTTTCCCCGGATTGGATTGCTTTCGGGGGGGGAGTCGATTCACCCTAGACCAAATCGAGAAACCCTCGACAGCCTAAAAGAAAAAGCGCAAACGCGGGGTATCGGCCCCGGCTCTTCGTCATGCGGGCCTTTGGCCAACCCCCGTGGGATGAAAACGGCTTCATCGAGCCCTCCCCCCCCTGTCTGACGGCCTCGCCCAAGCGGGCCCTTCGGCCGCTCGCCGTGTCGGGTCCGGAAAGGCCGACCCAAGCCCCGATCGAAGGGGAAGGGGCGGGGAAAAGGGGGGCCCCGATCGAATGGAAAGAAGAGGGGGCGATCCGAGCCCCAACAACGCCGGAAAAGGAACGGGAAACCCCAACAATGGGGGCGATAACCCCCCCAACAAAAGCGCAGGGCGAGGGGGGGCTGGCAAACCCGGTGGCGCCGGAAAGGGAAGGCCACGGGGGAACCCCGACCGACGTGGAAGGGGAGGGCGAAACTCTGATTGATGTGGAAGGGAGAAAAGAAGGCGAACCCCTCATTGATGAAGAAGGGGAAAGCGAACCCCTCATGGAAGCGAAAGGAGAAGGGGAACCCTTTATTGATGTGGAAGGGGAGGGCGAACCCCTCATGGAAGGGAGAAAAGAAGGCGAAACTCCCATGGATATGGAAGGGGAAGGAGAACCCCTTATTGATGTGGAAGGGGAGGGCGAAACTCTGATTGATGTGGAAGGGGAGGGCGAACCCCTCATGGAAGGGAGAAAAGAAGGCGAACCCCTCATTGTTGTGGAGGCGGAGGGGGGGCGACCCCCCCGGCGGGGGGGGAAACGGGCGGA